GCAAATACGTGATTTCTGAATATCCCTCCCTCGCTACATTGGCAGTCAAACAATCCTACTGTTCACAACAGCTTATCTAGTTTAAAGTGGCTTCTCCGCTTTGGTACAGCTCAAGTCAAAGCAAAGGAACAGGTTGGACACTGAACATGATCTGAGAGTAGCTCTGTCTACAATCAGCCCAGACATTGAAAGTCTTGTCAAAACTATAGGAAAACTACAGCTATCTCAGTAGTTCACTGCAAAATATAATCTTGCTTACATGTTAAGTAAAACGAGACTATAAAGTCTTATCATGTTGTTTGCAGTTCTGCATTCAGTTTTATACACATACAGCACCCTGTTGTGTTATTCGACTGTTGTATTTATGTTGTGTTATGCAGCAGTTGTGATGTTTGTTTATTTTTGTGTAACATTTCCTTAATGCAGACAGAAAAATCTGACACAAAGGCTGTACTAACTATGTTTAAAAAAAAAAAAGGTTTATAATTTAATTTATTTGAAATCCTGTACTGGTGGGTCACGGACATGAAAAGTGGGTGCCAAAGTGGGTCCCAGGGTGACACCAGTGGAGAAACACTAATCTAATGTACATAGAAAGAGCACACAATCTGAAACAGGGTTCAGAGAATGACAGCAACATCAGTTGTAGTTTCACTGAAGCACATTTTAGAACTAACTGCTGAAGTGTTTCATGAAGGGAGCATTATTATGTGCATTATTTTTGTTCATACCTCTATTTAACCTGGCAGAATGACGGTTCAATATGCATTTCAGGTATAGAAGTCACCGAATATAACTTTTGCGACTCTCGAAGCTGGGATTTCCAAGTGCCCCTGAATGCAACCATGATACTGGGATTTCCGAGTGTCCATGAATGCAGCCATTACACAGATGAAGCGTATTAGCGTGAGTTGTTTGTTTGTCTTCTGTCTGTGGTGTTTTTGGGTGAGTGCTCTTAGTTTTTTTTAACGGTAAAAATTCAACTTGGGTGGTATAAAAGATATACAACTGGCTTCTTGCTTATATATAATTGATGCCACGACAGTATGAAGGCAAAGACGGAACTACTTGTGGTGAGCTAATTAACGAGCTAACTATTAGCTCGTTAGCAACGTTGTTAATGTCAACCGCTAAGCTAATGGTAGCATGTTAACTGAGAGTTTAATAGATAAACATAATGTAGCGCTAGTCCACTGTCATCTCCACTGTTTTGAGCGTGTTCAGCTCCATGTTGTTGTGGCTACACCACAGGACCAGCTGCTCAACCTCCCGCTTAGAGGCAGACTCGTCGCCATCTCGGATGAGACCAATGACCGTTGTATCATCAGCAAACTTAAGGAGCTTGACAGACGGGCCCTTTGACATGCTGTTGCTGGTGTAGAGTGAAAACAGCAGAGGGGAGAGCACACATCCCTGGGGGGGCGCCTGTGCTTATTGTCTGGGTGCTGGAAGTGGTTTTCTCCAGCCTCACCTGCTGCTTCCTGTCTGTCAGAAAGCTTGTAATCTACTGACAGGTGGGGGCAGGCACAGTGAGCTGGGTCAGTTTGGAGTGGAGGATGTCCGGAATGATGGTGTTGAATGCCAAGCTGAAATCAAGAAAGAGGGCCAGTGCATAGGACCCTGGGGTGTCGAGGCGTTGCAGGATGTCATGCAGTGCTCTGGTCACTGCACAGTCCACTGACCAGTTTTCCTGGTA